CTCCAAAGCATCTTAAGGCAGAAAAAGAAGCAACGGATGAAAACTAATCAAGGAGACACCCAACCTAGAACTAAGGAGAAATAAGAACAATAAATCAGTGGAACAACTTATCTTCAGAACTTGTGGATGTTCCAACATTGGAGGTTTTTAAGAAGAGCTTGGACAAAAGAAGAAGGGAAAGGATTCAGACGTTTGTCTGAAATGGTATAGGTAAATTTCCCCTTATTCCAGTAAATCAGGATATTAATTATCGGAGCACTGTCGTCAATGCCTTATTGTATTATATCTACTCATCCCTCGAAATCTAAAGAATAATCCTATAATCCTGAATGTAAGTCTCTTTTTGTGACCAGCCCTAGTTATTTGCAGTTCTGCTCTATTACCTCACTAGCTGGATACCTGTGCTTCATGACAAAACTATGTGATCAGGCAATGCAGGAGAAATCTGGTTCATTCCCGTTCAATCCATTGTGGTGGTCAGTGATTGAAACACATACAGGAATATCACTCCTGCTGCCTTGAGTCCAGAAGTGGAAGGTGTAGAAATTTTGGGGAGATACTCCCTTTTATACTGTAAGGAGCCTGGGACCCCTCCTGAGGGAAGAAATGGAATGTCTGCCAGTTTGAACTGAGGTAACGGAATGTGAGGCAACTGGCCATTGGAGCAAAGTTCTTTTCAGGAGGGGAGTGGGAGTAGAATGTCTAACTCCTTAGCAATATAAGGCAACTGGCAGTTGGAATAGAGTTCTTTTCAGGTGGGAAGGGTGAGTAGAACACCTTAGCATCAGAGTGTGTTAATTATTGTATAAGAAATACTAATGATCTGATGGTCATTTCAAAAAATCCTTTCTTAGTGAGCAGCTAGAAGCCAAGAGGAACATATGTGCCATATTTCAAATTTGTAGGCTTTACGGTTCTGGAGATTTTGTGATGAGTGAGTGGTATTTGGCTTTTATATATAGCTTCTGCTCTATTACCTCATTCCCAATTGCATTGGCCTTTATTGAAACATATGCTGTGTTAGAATTTCTTTCATCAGTCTCTAAGCACTATTAATATGTTACTTAACAAACACCAGGGAGTGTGTGACTCTGTGAGGAACACTTTTTTGGGGGGGAAAGTGCTATCACACCTACGCCTACTCTTCACCATCAGTTTCCCCAGAGGGAATAAAAACTGTGTTTTATTTAATTTGATCCCTCATTATCTCCATGGCCACATGGCCTTATGAGTAATCCTCGATGTACGACCACAATGGAGCCCCCGCAAATGTTTGTTGCTAAAAGAGACGGTTGTTAAATGAGTTTTCCCCATTTTAAGACCTTTTTGCCACGGTTGTTAAGTGAATCACTGCAGTTGTTAAGTGCAATGCGCTCTACATGGGGCAGCCCTTGAAGAGCATTCGGAGACTTCAGCTTGT